TCACTTGGTTTTTGGATGTCAGTCGGTCATCAAGTCGATGGCAGTTTCATTCCACCACGAACGTCCCATTCCAATGCGGACGTCCCATTCCAACGCGGACGTCCCATTCCAGCACGGACGCGGCGGACGCGATCGCATTGGACAACTGGCATCGCACGGACGAGGTCAGACCGCCCGCGCTTATGCTGACCAAGTGCGACCTGGGGCTAGAATTGTTGGATCGATACAACTCGATCTCGGGTCGGAATTTCTGTCTTTTTTGTTCGCCCAATGAGGTAGGTCGGGCGCATTGGCTCGAGTTCGGTTTCTCGTCACGTCATGCGTGAAATACAAGGAGCTGGCGTGTGTAGCGCTTGTTGTGGCTGCTCTCGTTACCACGACGCCACGTCATGGATCGGAAGTCGAAGTACCCGCCAGCTTGCATATATGGGGCGACCGTGCCACGACACAGATAGCATGACATCGCCGCTTCAGCCCCGAGATGCTACACTGTAATACTTGTGGGACGCCCCGTCGAGGAACGAGCCTGCGAGCACGTGCTGTGGCCAAAGAAGCGCGGAAACTATGCGAGAGGAGATTCTTCGTCCGATCTGTGCTTCAAGAAGCAAGACTCTTTCGAATCGAACTATCGACGACAGTGCTGCCGTGGTTCTCGGATAGCCAAGCTGTATCCAGTCAAATTTACACTAAATACGGTTCGCTTGGTTGACATCCTTGGTCCTTTCCCGCCAAGCGATCCGTGGCACGAAGACATATGGCCGTCAAACACTGCATTGTACTGCTGTTTCCCATGCCAGCGGTTGATGTCCACATTCTGTTTCATGTGCATCCTGTCTCCAAAACAGTGTATGTCCCCTGCCCACCCACACAAGACAGCCTCGTCAAGCCCAACGATATAAAAGTTGTATTTCAAAGCAGCCGATACATCTTATGCAATGGCTCGCTACTGCTACCTACAACACACAGGCATGAAGCGCACGGCTGTGTCGAGCCGGCACGGCGAGAGACCGACGCCACGACGCGGACGACGTTGTCGATGCCATACATCTCGACCGTCGGATCACCGAGAGCATGTCGGCTCGATGATCGCGCCGTCTTCGACCTTGACGAGCCACACGCCGTACGGGCACTCGGCGCCGCTCGGAAGAGGACCCTGGGGCGTCGCAAACGCATGGCTGTCGAGCCACGTCGTGGGCTTCGTCGACGGCGCCAAAGCTGCAACCGAGCGTGCGGCGTCTGGTTGATGAAAAGCACGAGCGTCGTCGTGAGCAGCTGCACGTAGCGGTGGAGGGCCAGGCCGACGTCCGGGCAGGCATTGACACTCGTCGTGTTGGCAACGAGGTTGGTCGCGAGCGTCCACGGGCCGTCGGCGGCCGGAGTGAGGCTGAAGAGGTCGTTGATGGCGGCCTGCTTGGTCGTGATGCGGCAGACAACCGCGGTTTGGAGGCCCGCAAGTGTCGAGATGCAAGAGACGGTTGGTGGCGTTCGCGCCGATGAAGCTCAAATTGCGACTGTCGTGTCCAGTCCAACGTGCGAGGTTGGCAGTTAAAGGTGCATCGAATCGGTTCCGAATGCTCGTGGCTGAGAAAGAACGTCAATATATCACAGCGTGCATCGTCCAGCTGTGAGGTTGCGCTTCTTGCATCGCATGCGGTAGCCCGCCGGGTTGGAGCTACTTCAAGGTCGATGTGTGCAGCGCTCAGCGACCGGCCACGAAGGCGACTTCCTGCTTCTCGGAAGCAAGGTGGCAAGGACATGGCAGCGACGAGCATCGCTGAGCGAGCAGCTAGCGCGTCATGACAGGAGGACTGAAAGAAGGGGAGTGCTGAGCCCTCCGGTCGTACTGTACGTCGTCACGCAAGAAGATACTCGCCAAGCGCGAGTGCATCCGAACTTGAGCCGCCGCGCTCAGAGGCATGACATTGCTTGACATCGAACAACCGGTAGCGCTTAAGCTCGCGCGCAGCAAGTTCGTCGCCGGCGGTTGGTACATCAATCGAATTCAAATGCGATGCACATCAATCCTTGACGATACCGGTACACGCCTCGATTGCTGCAGCACCCACACACATTCGTGTCGGGCTTGGACCTTGTGAGATTCCAGTAGCGTGGATATAACGAGCTGCGACCCGTTCTTTCTCAGCCAAGAGAGCTCCCCATTGCACCTTTGACTGCCAACATGGCACGTTCGACTTGACACATGCGACGCAACTTGAAGCTATCAGTGCGGGTAGGATTACGAAGCAGAGAACGCCACCACCCTCGCTCAGCCTTGGCTGGTTAATTCCGGCTTCAAATCCTCCATCGCACGTGCAATACAGTGCATTCATATTAGCACTGGCGTCCACGGTTCGATTCAGCAGTGACGATTGTAGCTTGCACATGGAGCGACCAAGCCAATACACCCACGAAGAAACGCGTCATTGCGAATATCATATCGCTTGGATAGTTGAAGCTGGTCGGCGAGGAGCTTCGAGAAGTTACCTTTGGAAGCCCACCGGGAGGAACGAGGCAGCGAATCCACGGGATGTGGTGACTGCAATAGCTGTCGGCGTCAGAGATCAAGACGCGTTCACTTTGAGCTCTGCATCCAAAGTGACATTGACGCATCGACGCAGGCTCGGTCGATCGATCGCACGACGATGAGATGCGTACGGTTTCTCGTCACGTCATCGGATGACGTGGTAAACGGATCTGTCGTCACATGCAGCTGGTCTCCTTCGGCGTCGAATCTCCGCAACCGCTGCAACTTGTCTTGCTCAAGCGTGAAATGCTAGACGCCCGAGCCTGTTGCTAGAAGTTGCTGGGCCATTCACTGTTTTGTGATGTGTAAATCCACGCCCCAGGCGTCAAAGACTTTTGACCGGTAACAATAGGCACGTTTGGCTGGACGCATCGCAACTTCAACTTGTCGCCGCGGGGCGCATCACAAGACAGAGAACGCCACTGGCGCCACTGCGCCGTTGCAGCGACCCGTCGGTGACGTCTGGTATACTAAATTCCATCCCACGTACTATAGTAGCACATCCAAACCTCGGTGGTCGAGATGTGCGGCACCGACCCCGTCGTCCAACAAAGTCGGTCGTAGCATGCTTACCATAGACGGCACCGTCGACGTATATGTGCTTGAGACGGTCGATCATGTGCGCGCTAGTTCGTCATGCATCGTAATGATGCCTGTTCATGCGTAGTAGAATACCCTTTCTAGTGCAGGATCGGCCTCGAGACGCCGAGAGAAAGTCGCCGTTGATCGTCGGCAGCAGCGTCGACGTCGCCGCTTGCTCGCGCTGCAGCAAGAGCGCCAGCTCGATCATGCCTGCGCTGCCTGGTTAGCGCCATGGATATCTTCGTCGTGGCCTATGCCATGAGCGTCAGGCGCGACGTCGTTCCCCGTCAAGATGGTCAGCGCTGTCATCCCAAGCGTTTAGTCGTTCGTATCGACTAAGGCTCGACTGGAGGTGGCATGGTATCTTTGGCACATGCCGCAAAGACCAACAGTTATGCCGAATCCTATAAAACGGTTTCGGAGCTTCTTCTCCATACCCGGTTGGCGCGCGCCAGTTTTGGTTTGGCCGCAGAAGAGAGAAGACGAGCATGCCCGCGAAGCACCGACTCCTGCATGCTGCCCGCGCGCTCCGTGGACGATGGACCGACCCCTCGCGGGCATGGACGCTCCGTGGACCACCAGCATGGCGACGACGACCCAGGACGCCAGTCATCGCCCGACCCGCGCTCGGGACCATGGCCATCGCGACCAATGCGAAGACCATACGCTACAAGAGCATGGGCGGCAGCACCGACGACAAAGCAAACCGAGGTAGTACCCACGACGTCAACCGGCTTGGCGCCGGTTCCTCATGCGATCCTCATGCGACCTCATAGAATCCTTGTCACCATCGACGTTAAAGCACGGTGTGCTATGCTCGCTGGCATAGCACACCGTGCTCTAACGTCAATGGTGACAAGGATTCTAGGATATCGCATCACGGATTGCCTCCCACGATGGTCGAGTTGACGACAACGAGTCAGCCTTCCTTTGCAGGCCACCCCTGCTGTCGCTTCTTCTCGATGAAGCGCACAACTTCCTCAGCGATCTGATCACATCTTGGAACGAGCGCGCCCTTTTGCCACGCGACGCAGCCGTCGCCGCGACATGCGACAAGCACAACAGTAAACAAGTCGATGTCGTTGCCCAAATCGTCCTTGAACGACGTAATTGACGCAGCCCATTAGATTGGATACGGGAAATGACGGTGGTAGCGCTGGCGTAGACGATGAAAAGACCCGGGTTGCCAAAGTTGCTCGCACTCTTCGCCGCGCATGACCGACGTCTGCGTGTCGAGCGGTAGCTCCATACTGCCAGCTGCCACGATGCTGACGCGCGTCAAGGCGAGGATGGCGTCGGCGCCCTGAACCACGTGACTGTCCACGCATCGCAACTCAACATGGTGACATGGTGATCGTCCTGCTCCGAGTACAACTTGAGTCTATTTGCGATGTGGTTCTCAGCGATGACACGGGCGCCCAAGAACGACCGACGCGGCGTCGCCGGCGTACCGACTGCAAAGATGCCGAGCTCGAGTGCGCCTACGACCATCCTGAGCCCACCGTATCGGTTCGCATGAGCAACAGATACCGTTATGGCCGATCGGAAGAAGACGCGTGTCGGTCGCGCGGGCAGAGAAGTCGCCACTCGCTACGTCGAAGCCAAACCAGCGAAACTGGGCAGCTCGACGCTGCGCCAAGACGCTGAAAGGCAACTCGTGGTCACCACTGCTGAATGGAACCGCAGACGCTAGGGCAGCGAATGCATGTTGTTGCATGTGCGATCGAGGAGTTGAACGGGAAGGACGGGAGCACGAGAGCAGTCGAGGTGCACGCGTTTCCAAAGTCACGGCGAGTGAGCGTTCTCTGCTTCGTAACCCTACCCGCACTGTAACTTCAAGTTGCGCTGCGTGCGTCCAGCCAAACGTGCATGTTGGCAGTCAAAGGTGCGATTGCGAGCTCTCTTGGTTGAGAAAGAACGGGCCGCCGCTCTGCATACTACTGTACCGGTACACAGAGTGTAGTCCCACTCGCCATCGAAGCTTCTGGCATCCCACATGATACTAGTATGCTATGAATATGTGGGAGTTGCAGCAATCGAAGGTGTCTTCAAGGATCTTTTTGCAGCATTTTGAATCCAATCGCGGGGCCTGGGACACCTCGCGTAGTCACCCCTGATATATCTTCCCGCGACCTAAATGACCGGCGCTCGCCACGTGGAAGATCGTTAAGGGTCACCAAGGAGCCATCGAATGGTCCTTCGCCGACGATGGAAGCCGTTCTGCAAGTTGAAGCTACTTTCGCGATACTCTTCTACACAGTGTTCCGAGTGCATTGAGGGAATGACCACAATAGAACGGTGACCTACGAAGGTCGTTTCTCTCCAAACAGCAGAATCGATTCTAAGAGCGTGCATTACGAAATGCAAGCTCAATCGTGGCCACGTTCCATGCCAGCCGAGAAGGACCACGCCAGCGCGAGGAGACATGGCGCCAGGTTGAGGTCACCGACCTCGCACGCAAGGCCCACCGCACACAATACAAGCGGTGCTTTCAATCTATACTAGTATACTAGTATATATATATGAACGTGTTTTGCGTTCTCTTCGTTGTTACAAAGAGTTCGCATACGTAGAGACTAGCAATCTCCTTCTTCTTCATTCGCTCACCGGGCCGTGGCTGCGCAGGCAGCGGCGCGGGGGCTCGTTTTGCTCTTCTGTGGTCGTCCGGGGGCGCTTGTGGCCGCGGGTGAGGCCCATGACAATCTAGCGACAGTAATACAAGTGAAGACACGACGTTTAGTACGCTAGTATGACTTCTACGCACCCAACGACTTGCACGCCTCTGTCGGGTGGTCCGAGTACAGGAGCCTGTGTGCGAGCTATCGCTTTGCGCGTGGGTTCTACCACGAGATGCATATCTGAGCTCACTCCCAACAACCACCTGCTGGTACTTGGCCATGGCGCTTCATACAGCGCATCTTCTCGTCGCGTGAGGCCATCTCGAGGCGCGCCGGAATCCGGTTTCGCATTTCATTTTGCGCATGGCGTTTTGCACACACGCAAAATGAAATGCGAAACCTCGTCCTTCGCGCGGCCCTCGCTCGTACGCATCGGCAAGAAGCGCCTTCTCAAGCTTGGCGTCGTCGCAGCCGCTGCATCGCGATTGTCTTGATACTATTCTGAGCAGCTGGAGGCGGTCGGTCGAGTAGGCCTCGAACTGCTCCAGCGTTACCTCGACCTGCGGCGGATCCGTGTACATGGAGAGCGCCACGCGCTGCG